AGAGAGAGAGAGAGAGAGAAGAGACGAAAGTAGTGGAGAGGAGAGGAGAGGAGAGGAGAGGAGAGGAGAGGAGAGGAGAAGAGAGGAGAGGAGAGGAGTGGTGTGGTGGTGAGAGGTGGAGAGGAGAGGAGAGGGGGCGAGTTGCGGAGGCGGCTGAGGAGTAGGGGGATGGTTTAACCCGAGTAGGAACTTCTTAATACCGTGACGGCAGAGTCGGGTTCATTGTGGGATCAATACAGAGACGACCGGGTGTAGGAGTGGCAACCGTCGCCTCATTGGATGTGCCGTTCCTGGTCGGTGATTGGCCGGTTGTGGAACTACCAGGAGGCGGTTCCATTGCCGGTTGCCCCTCTGTTGGGGGGTGAACGAAAGGGGGAACAGGCCCTGACCCTCGCCAGGAAGGAGAGAACACGCGGCGAGCGAAAAAGACGGAGCGGCGCGGCTCGACCAGTTGGAAAAAGACGGTGGACTGGTCTACGGTGAGGGTGACACGACGCCGGGGGGTTCAGTCTGTGTTCGCCCATCAGAGACACATCACCAGCCACAATACGGTCCGGTTACGTATCTCTTCGACGCGAGGGTAACTCCTCGCAGCCAGGTGTTGCCCGTATCTTGGACAAACAAGATCTTTGCCTTTCTTCTACACGCTTCGATGCTTGACAACGTTCTGGGACGTTTACGGTGACGTTCGATTACGGTGACGAATTACACGGGTCGGTCCCAGAGATTGGAGCGAGGGAACGATGAGAAACGAGAGTTCGTCGTGATTTCAACGTAAAACAGGTGTTCAACGTAAACCAAGTATCAAATTCGAAATATACGTATATATATATATATATATTTATTTATTTATATATATATATATACGTGTATAATATATAAAGTTTCTTCAAGTTTTGTGATTATATTATATTACGATCGTTCATCGTCGTTTGATCGATAAAGGAGGAAATTTAGATCGAGATTGATCGTCCGATTGTAGAGAAAAATTGGACGAAGAGAATCATTAGTGCATCAAACGTGTTTAATCGCCAGTTTCGGAAACGATACGAGGAAAACATTTTTTTTTTCTTTTCTTTTTTTTTTTTTCCTCTCCTCTTGTTCGAAAGAATAACACGTGGATTTTGGAAAGGATCGATTGTAAAACAAACGTTACTTTTACGTATCCGAGTACGAGACAATCCTGTGCTCTGTGTCATCGATTTATTTTTTCGACGTAAAACATTAAAAATAGTTCGATGCAGTGCTAAATACTTACTATGTGAATCAAAGTTGTGACAAACAGCAAATCGTCGTTTCTTCGAATGATCGAAAAGTGATCGTTAAAGTGTATTTATTAAAAAACCGATTATTCGAGAGTATCGTCGAGTTGACAATCGTCGAAAAAAAAGTGATATCATATTTTTCCTCGCGAGCAGAAGAAAAATAAAAACGAATAAAAACGAGGTAAAAATCTTTTTTTCCGTGTTAATAATAATACCAAAATAATCTCGATTTCTCCTCTGATCTAATTTCCAATGTTTCCTTCGATATGGTCAATACGTAAAGCTAAACACGCTAAAGCTCACAACGCTAAAAAAATATTTCGAATCTTGAGAGAAATTCGTGGACGCGCATTCGAAAGACAGATCTCGAGAGCGATCTTTGTCGATGCGATTCGTGGATGCGAACCGCGTGACGTGAAGATGCTCGAATCGGGCTGACACTTTGGCATTTATCGTTTCGATCGATCGAACGACAAACATATATATATATATATATACATAGGGAATTGGAGAAGAGAAGAAAAGAAGAGGAGAAGAAGGAGGAGAAGAGAAGGAGAAGGAGAAGAGGAGGAGGAGAAGGAGGTGGAGAGTGGTGGACGAAGTGGAAAGAAAAGATAGTGGACGAACGGGTGGTGCGACGTTCGGGTACGCACGTCGACAGGCCGGCTCTGGGGTGCCGGGCCCGGGCGGGGTGATGAGCTGTTCCGAGGTGATGTATCAATATTATCCTTACCTCTACCAGAGGCCACCGCCGCCACCACCACCGCACCCGACCCACCCTCATACGGCCCCGCACACCCATCCCCACACGAATCCACATGCGGCCCACGATAGCCCTACCAGGTCGGCGTCTTTTCAATCCTTCTCCGCGGCCACGGCGACGCATCAATACGACAGGGTAAGTTCGATATATCTTACCTTATTTTCGTTTCTTATCTTAATGTATCGAGATACATAGTTTTTCATATTTTACCAAGATTCCTACAAAATTATCTCGTTACCTTATACGCGCGAACGATTACTTCGTACGATTATTTCGTACGTATAACAATAAGAGATGTTTCGTTGAGATGTTAGAAAATTTAAACGTCAAATGATTTTTATCAACCTTCTATTTCCGATGCGTTATTCGTAAGCGTATATACGCATATACATGTCGAGTCATGCGCGAACGTGTCATCTCGCGTCTTGTCGCGCGTTCGAGTACAACTCGTCTCTAAAAAGGACCGATCGAGTTCACACTTGCGATTGGTCCGCATCCGTGCCGATACATCCGACATTTCCTTCTTCTCGTAACGCTAACGAAACAAATATAAATCACGTTATTCCTTGATCGACGTTCACTTTTATGCCATAATGTACGTGCGTTACGTACGTATTTATTATTCTTTTTTCCGAACGAAATTTTCTGGCCGATGAATGATATCGCGGGCGTCGAATTATCTCATTAGATAGCTTCCTCACCCCAGATCGTATTTGTCGCTCGTGTATCTCAAACTTGGTACCGTTACTGGATTCGAATTAGCCGAGTTTGTTTCGAAACTGGAGAAACTAGTTTGTCGATTCGAATCGACAACGTGATCCATGGGGTGGTCGAGTAATGGGAAACTTGATTCGAGAAAAGTTTCTCTGGATCGACGTGGATGGTCGGAAAAAAAAAAAATCTCGATCGTTCGTCAAAACGAAGCGTTTCATTGAAAATTTATAGGACAACGTATCGTATGATATAGAATTATCGTGTTTCTTTATCGTTCGTTTTCTTTCATTCTTGAATAATATATGAAAAATAAATTCAAAATAATTTATTCGATGAATCATATTTGTCAAATAAATGTGCGTAATTACAAGAAAGATTTACTTTTTATTTAATACATATTAAAATTATCGAATATCGCAAATACATATTTTATTTTTAATATACGCTATCATTGTGATAATAATAACGACTATTTTATCGAACGAATTTTAAATCTTCGCGATATAGATACGATTTTCGTTAAATTTTCGCGTTAATTCAAATATTTTGCAACGGGAAATTTATCGTTATTAAAATATAATTAAGATATTTGGGGCGAAGGAAGAGATAAAAAACGATGATAGATTGTTATTTAATAGAACGATAGAAATTCTTTATGACGCATTTCAAGCTATAAGTTAAATATACGAGCATTCATTTTCGGCGAGCGTTTTAAAACCATAATTATGAATTTCCATGAACCACGAATTATTTTCTGCATACCTCGCATTCATGAGTTCTGTTTTAATAGGAATACTATTGCGACGTGTCTGATCTCCGCAAGTTGAGCGATCAGCCGATTATCGTTTGTGAAATAGCGATAAATACGAATGTTGGTGAAAATTTGCCGCGCGAAAGAATTCACGAATCGAGCCATAGATTTAGATAAACTCGTCGTTACGAATAATTGTTTGATGAATAATTATCTAGAATTATATTTGAAACATTTTCGATACGATTCATATCGACATCGTGACATATCATCCATAATTTCGAATTAAAAGGATTTAATACATCTATACTATTAATATATCTAAATTCGTACTGGACGCGTATAAAATAAAATAAAATTGATAGATTCGAGTGTTTTTTCTGTATCTATACGCATTATTAAAAATTAATAATGATTTCAAATGATTTAAAAACGATTTTCTCAAAAAGTATCGGAGTGGACTGGAATGAAATGGAAATTGGAAATGTCTTTTTAAAAGTCGCGCGAGCCGACAAAAATAGACCCATTATACGATAATATGTTTGTAAACGATCCAACCAGCTTCTTCGGTGTTTTAGTTTGCGCAGAGTTTACGAATTCTCGCTTTTAGCCGGTTGTCCTGAAATAGTTTACCAGACAAGAGACGAAACGAGAGTTTCTACGAGTTTCATTCCGCGTTGGGATCCTCCGCCGCGTCATTTCAATATCACCGTCTGCTCGAAGATGAACCAAGCCATGGTATTTCTTCCCATTCCATGAACTTATCCGTGAATTACCTTTTTATTGCTTTTTTAAATATCCCTTTTCTCATCTCTCATCTCTCATTTTTTTATTCATCTCGATTTTTTGCTTTTGCTTTTTCGCTTTTTTTCGATCTGATTCAAATAAAAAAAGATGCATTATTCGTGGAAATAATTCCGAAACAAGTTGTTGCATCGAGGATAATGTAGACTCCGCACCGAAGAAAAAAACGTAGCGACGCTTGGATCGACGAGGAATTTCCCTCTAATGCTCCGGCAATGCGTCTTCCTGATCATTCCACTCGTTGTTTGCCCAAATACGACGCGCGTAACGTCTCACTGATTGCCGTTCCATCGGGCATGCTTGCAATTTGTCGTCGTTATATCTGGTTGATCGTCGCGATAAAATCATGAATCGATCTCTATCGTAGAACTGTGATCCGCGATAGAATACTGTGTGAATAAATAAATTTCAATTATTTTCGATAAAATTATATATATGTATATAGATGCGAAACGAATGATCGAATTAATCGAGTGGATATCCGCAAAAACGTTTCGATCCAAATACGACCGGCTCGCGAATAGGAAGAGTGAGGAAAATGATAAACGCCATCACGCGAGATGGAACGCGATAATATCTTATATAACCGATATCACAGTTGGGGCGATAAATAACAAGTAGTGGCCGGTATTACTCGGTCCACATTGAGAGGAATGTCGGGACCAGGATGAGGTATTATCCACTGTTTATCCACTTGAATTGTTTATCATGCGGTAAATTATACGAGCCGAGTATAATATGGTCGAGAGGAAGTGAGAGATCTAACCGCGTTTAAACGAGATCTTTGATATAGCGAGGATTAGCGAAGAGAAATTTGCAAAGCCGACAGTGGGTGTATCGCTTCTCGCGAAGAAAACATTATTATCTTTTCGACGGTTGTCGAAGGAGAGGACGGTTGAAAGGGAAGCCGATGCTGTTTCGTTGCAGTACCGTTAGACCGAGAGAAGGCGAAAAACGCATGTTCTCCGCGTTCTCCACACGATACTCGGATAACGGAGGGGAATCGCGGTTAGCGCAAGGTCGATCTCGATGCTCGGACAGGTTTCTCGCGAAGGAGCATCACGCGGTCCTCATGGCGGGGTCCATGGTGCGATCTCGAGGCAACTTTTCTTCCCGAAAGTCCCTCGTTTTCGCTCGAGGGAAGTTGACCACGCGGCGGACGGTCCACGGCGACACGAGTTTACTTTTATTTAAACGTTCCTTCTTTCCTTTTATTTAGGGCCTGACCCAAGGGCGCTCATTTTGTTCCTTTGCCGGCGCTGACCGGTGTCCACCGGCTCTGAATTAATAGCCTCGCGTTTTTCGCTGTGCTGTGGCTAATATACGCGCGCGTTTCTCCCTCTTTCTCTCCTTCTTCTTCTTCTTCTTCTTCTTCTTCTTCTTCTTCTTTTGCTTCTTCTAACTATACTTCTCTCTCTCTCTCTCTCTCTCTCT